TTGGTATACGCCATCACGTGCTCGGCATTGTTCTTTTTACTTGGTATGAATCTTAGCTTTTAAATGTTTGCAATTTAGTATGCGAACTTGATAGCACGTTTCACACCACACCACACTACTCCGCTACTCCACTCAACATCAATATTTCTACGTACATTGTTGTTTTCATTTTTTCAGCTATGACTACACAGCATGGCTGCTACTTGACGCTACTTGCTGCTTCCCGTTATTGCCATTACACTATATTCTACATTTTGTCTCTGATTCCAAATCCAAATCCAAATCGGAATCTTTATCAGAGGCGAAAGTTGAATCAGAGCACATCCCAACGGTCGAATGTTTTACAATCACGTCGCTGCAATTCTATTATGTACTCGTACTCATACTTGCACCCGTACTCGTGCTATTCCATTGTAGTAGTTAGGTGCATGGGCCGTTATAGCCGTCGTTCAGTATGTATGTCTCTCTATTTGTGTGAGTATTAATGTTGGCACGTAAATAGTTGAGTTTGCTATAAATTGTGTGAGTAAGTTTTAGTTTTTGTTGTTTTTGTTTTTGTTTGTTTTTATTGTTTTTGTCATTTTTGCTGGTATGAGATTTGATAGGGAGCCCATAAAAACGGGCGGTAGCAGTTTGGTGACATGTACAAATACAGTGAAAGGAACATCACTAACAACGCGCTTGTATTGCAGCATTTATTTTGTTATTTTGTTATTTTGTTGCTTTTTTCGTTATCAAAGTGTGTTTATTTGTATATTTATGTATGTATGTGAGAAGGATTGTAAGTATATCTTGTGCAATATAAGCAACTTCAACTACGGCATGGCTTTGGCAAATTTTTATTCAAGCACTATTTGTGTATATTTATTCGAAGCAGGCGGGGTAGGGGAGAGAGCTAGCAAGGTTGAGTGCTTGACTGCTTGAACGAAGCACAACAAAAAGCATTTTAGCTTTTAATAAAAGCAAACAAAGACACGAATAAAAGCAAATAAAAAAAATAAAAGAAAATTTTAAAATAAAGCAAAGCAAAGAAGGAAATCACTACTAACTAGCGTAACAGCTCCGAGCAGATTTTTGTTGTTACATTAAAGAGTATGGGCTGCTTATGTAGAGTATTAAATATATAAAGAAAAAGAAAACATACATTCGTTGGTTATATTATTAAGAGAAATTCTAACCAGTAACACAGAGGTCTTATATATAACTAACTCCTCTTCTTAGCCTGTACATACCAACCAAATTATATTTACTTATATAAACGATTTACTTTCTAGACATTTTCTATGGAATCCTTGTTATAATTTTTATTCGTTCACTTAAGTGCAACCAATTAAAGGACGTTATATAATTTGATACTTGTAATTAATATCAGGGACGCCAATTTTGCATTTAATTAAGAAAAAGATTTAATTGTTGAATTATGTCAACTTATGAGAACTATGGATTTCATCTAAAAAAACCATTCAATTGCAATGCGCATTAAACCAGTTAAAACTTATATGTTCTACTCAGACGTGAAGAGATGAAATGTAGTCAGACTAAAGAGCTTAATTTAGGTTCAACTAGCTGAACTAACTCATATCAATTTCGGAATCTTTAACGATGCTATTCAAAAACATGATTATTGGACTTAAAGTCTATTTAAGGGCTCCGAAACCACCACATAAGCGAGTTTTTTAGTTTTAAAACAAATCTCGTTCTCTCAATGTTATTACGAAGTCTTTTTAGTTAGACCGAAGAATGGTTAGACTAAACATTTTAGTTTAGATACAACTAGCTAAACCTAAAATACCACATAATAACTTCTATATTCTTACCGTTACCATTCATATAAAAACATTGTTAGACTTAAACTCTTTTTAAGAGCTGCGAATCCATCATATAAGTGAGTTTACTAGTTTTGTGAAGAGTCTTGCTTACTTAACGCTATTACGAAGACTTCCTGTTGCTCTGTGGGTGAATAGAAAATTTCAGTCTCACTCGCGTAATTGATAATTTAGATACAGTTTCTTTTTTTCAATTTTCCTATGCTATCCGAATAGTACCATAAGATTACAAGAAATCGTTTTAATTGTGGTTTTGACAATGCTATATGTGCACATAGATATAATTTAAATATTAGCTTTTAATCTTGTAAACCTAGTAAATAATTGTGAAAGTCATCAAAGTTCTTGATATTGAATACTTTAATATATTTTACTTAAAAAATTTACTACGAAATCTTCAACTAAATTATAGGTTTTTGATTTTTATTCGGATTAGCACTAATCGTATTATTGAGTATCAAGGGAACCGCTTCAAAATAATCTGATTTAATAGATGGCTTTTATAAGTATATATTATTCATTTGTTTTTTTATATCGTTATTGCGAGTTCTTAAATTAAACTCGATTGTAAAGATTAAATAGTTTTGTTTAAATATATAAAAAGAATATGAAATCAGAGCAATAAAATGAACTCCGATTACAAATTAAATTCTGATTAATTCGTATACAAACCTCTAATCTTACAGATTAGGATGAAAAATGATAACATTTTTGTATTAATAAACATTGAAAGAAAAGCAATAAAGCTTTGAAAAATGCTGATTTCGATAAAATTTTATTTCCACTTTTATTTCTTCTTCTATTTCTATTTTTATTATATTCATTTTTATTTTCTTGTAAATTACCTTGGTGCTTACATCGTTTTCAACGCTGCGTCATGCCGAATATCCTTAGTAATAACGATGATGTTGAAAATAATAAATATAAAATGCTTTAGTGCACTTTTCTTCGTACCTGAAATCTACAAAGAATGTTGTTATTTGTAATTAATATAAAAAAACATCAAGAGAAATATATATAGTTTGAGTGGGTCATCTTGACTGTCAGTACATCTAAGCCCATACTGTGAAATTAGGGGATTGGTAGTATTGGTTTCAAGACAAATGCAGAAAAAGGTTTTTGCTCCTTTTTCATTCGTACAACGGAAGAATTATGAAGCACCACATGGAATTTTTTGGCGCAAAGTTCTTCGTAAGACCTTTGGTTCTCTACGAGTTGGTGACGAGTACTGCATCCGAATGAACCACAAGCTGTACAAACTTTATCATACAATGATATAATTCAGCGGATTAATATACAGCGGCTTCGCTAGTTTGGTCCTGTTGTGATACTATGTTCAATAAAGGTGCTATAGCGAGAAAGGTGTTTAAAGCAATAGTTGAAGGAAGAAAACGTAGTGTAGATCTTGTCTTAAGGGAGCACTAAACGCACTTAATATACGAGACTGAAAAAGACATGCACGCAACAAATTCACTTGTAAAGGATTAATGAGTCATCCCAAAACCCGGTAACCCGAGTGTCATTTAAATAAGCAAATAATAAAAGCACGAATAATACTGCAAATTCAGCAATAACCTTATACATAGACAGTCAGTTAGCTATTCAAACTATACCATATTACTAACACGCGAACTACAAAATTTGTGTTCGTATCTATTGCGTACCAGTATATAGAGACATTGGAAAGAAAGAACCAACCGGTATAATTGGAGAAGAATCAAACACCTCTTAAATGTTCAACCACCTGAAAAATATTAAGAACCATGTGCAAATAATACAACTCGAATACTATAAAATGATAGGTCATTTTAAGATTAAATACTGAATTCTTAAGACACTACTAAGAGGTCTAATACTTATAATACTCATGTTTCTAATATTAAACACTTCAGCAGAAAATATGTTGCTCTAAGAAAAATTCTTAGAACAGATTCTTTGCTTATGTGCTGACCTGTTCAGAACAGAGATATTCGAAAATTACCCGATGTGACCAATGTTAGAATGGTAATGCTTCAGGATTTCAGTTTTTTATTTTTATTTTAGTATATTTTATTTTATATCCTGTACCGCTCTATTAGAAAATATATTAGTTTTGAAGATACATTGACACAATATATACTTTGACAATTATGGTTATATAGAGAAAAAGAGGGAAAATAATTTTAGATTTAGCTAGATTCTTTGTAATTGAGTTTATAAACTTAGGGTTCTTTCTATTTAATCTCTTTGGATAATATTTTACTACAAGTGGTTGTTCTATTGTACTATGTTCGTCTCTAAATACAAATGCGGTGCTTGGTATAACTTGGTTTAGGTCCAGGACAGGTTGAATTTCTTCAAGAAAATGTTCTTGAAAATTTTTTAAAATATAAAAGACTTATAGATCTGTGTATTTCTTTTTGTTGTCCTTAAAATTAAGAACTTCAATTTGATTTTAGTACAGTAACTGTGACTGCTCTTCACATACAGTGCGTAATACGTAGCGCAATGCCATAAAAACGTTAGTAAAATTTAATATGATGTTACCATTCTAAAAAGATTTCCAAATCAAAATCTCTAGGTAACATATTTATAGTATGGATGCGATGAAACTGAAATACCTAAAGCTCTGCCGCTCTCTTCTATTATGCTTGATTTTCCTCAACCGTAACAGTTCCACTTTGGCTTTAAAATAAAATTCCTTAATTTTATATTTTTTATGTTTTTTTTTATGGAGTAAGTGAAAACCACAAAACCACAGATGATCCACATCTACAAATTTTAACAGTTTCCAGTAGGAAACATTGGTGTAAATAGGGAGAGGAGGAAAGCGTTGATGGTGTGGTGTAGAGCGGCAGGTTGAGATATGTGTATACCAAAAACTGTGTAAGGTTTACATTGCATTAAGATTTGTTCAGTTTAAAGTGGATGAATTGGTGTATTTTCAATCAATTCTATACTGAAATCAATTCAATGGAAGCATTTTTATATGAATTTATATATTTCAGTATTCTTAGTCGAAGAAATTAGTGTAACAATATGTCGTAATACAATCGGTATAAACTATCAGTTGAGTTAAAATACAAACATATTTATGTCTTTAATATATTTTTATTATTACTAACAGTTTATATTTTAATGTTATATATTTAATAATTTATTTAATTTCGAAATATTTTATTTGTGTCTTTTTAGGTGAAAAACCACATAAGTGCCAAGTCTGCGGCAAAGCCTTCAGTCAAAGTTCGAACCTCATAACACATTCGCGCAAGCATACTGGCTATAAGCCATTCTCTTGCAAACTATGTCATAAATCCTTTCAGCGTAAAGTGGATTTGCGGCGTCATAAAGAAACCCAGCATACTGATCTGCGACCACTTATCGAAAGAAACCTTGGTAAAGTCGACTTTATGACAGCCACTTCACCAAATGCGGGTGAGCAAAATAATGTTGTAACAGCGGCACAAGCCGCTGCGGCGGCTGCAGCGGCAGCGGCAGCAGCTGCTGTTGCTGTATCAACTTCCAATGGAACAAATTTGAATACACAACTGACATCGATGAATTGTCAGAAGGTCTCCTTATTGGTATAACAACAACAACAACAACAAATACAACACCAGCAGCAACATCAACATCTACAGCAACAACAATATCAGTTGCACCAGCATCATGGTGTACAACAGCAGCAACAACAATATCAATTGCATGTTCAACAACAGCAACAACAACAACAGCAGCATCAGCATCAGCATCATCAACAACGTACATGTGCCATATCGATACCAAATCCAATTGAGAAGTCCCAGAATTTTCAATTCTTCATCGCATGAACATTTTTCCTAAACACAAAAAGCTTTAAAATTACCAAAAAACAGTACTAACTTTTTAGTATTATTAATTTTTCTTTTTTTAACAAAATCATTTATTTGTTATTTTATTTACTTTTACTTTTCTTTGTTATTTTTAAGCTTAACTGCATTCACTGCGTCTGCTTTTCAAATAGCCAATTTGTTTTCTTATCGGGTGCAATCGATTTTATCAAGAATTACAGTAGTGGCTAATCTAATTGCTACGCTTTTTTCACACTCTCAATATGTAAATATTTTATAATATTATTACGTAAATTGCATAATTCAGTTGCCGAAGAATTTTAAACAAGAAAAAGCAATCATTTTTACTTATGTACATAGAAAGTGTCCCGCGTTAAAGTATTATAAATATATTATATATAAATCTAATATATAATATTTAAGATACAACAGGATTTAACAAAATATTTTCATCTTGTCAAAATAAGGTCCAAAAGATCCAAAAAGTAACATCATGTTGACGGAGCCAGGTTATCACAAAAAAAAAAAATCTTCAGTCATAATGACTACAATATTTAAAATCTCACACATCCGATTGATTAAGGTTATACACTAGTGCAGGAGAAGTATGCATAATAGGCACAACATTTTTTTAAAAAATGTTTCTATATTAAAATAGCGATATACAGTAATCCCCCCTATAACGCGGTAGATTGGTTCCGCGTTATAGGAATATTCCCGTATATAGTAGCTAATTATGAACTGTACAAGTCCCTGCGTTATGTGGGGGAATGCCCGTGTTATACGGAGGATACAAATCGCGTAATATAAAAACGCGTTATAAGGGTACCGCGTTTTAGGGATGATTACTGTATAAACTTTTATATAGGTATATGAAAAACGTGTAAATAATTCCGCACATTTTGGGATGGATGATCACCATAATTTCAAAATCCATTAAGATATATACAATACCTGATTTGATACAAATTTAAAAATAGTTAATTAACTTACCTGTGTTGTTTGGCATATTGAAGCTTTTTAATTAATGCCTAATTTTTTAAGAATGTACCTCTCTGAATATTGAAAATGAATCATACTCCATTCCATGTGAAAGTTTCTTATATCAAGGAATAAACTTTCACTTTTACGGTGCTTTAAAATGGGACACCCTGTTTGTGTATATTTATGAACCAAAGTTTTTATTTTATTAATTAATTATCTAAGAAAAAAACCAAAAATTTATAAACACTATAGTCAGAAATCCCTCATAAGGAAAATTGTTAAAACCTTTTTTTGTTATATATAACTTACTGTTCAATTAAAGGAAAGTGAAGAGCAAACTAAAAATAAATATCTTTTTATGTATATTTGTGTTTACTGTAAATGATCAAATATTGTGTAATTTTATAATTATATTAAAAATCGTAAAATCGTAAAAATCACCTTAAAAGTAGTGCAACTAAAATAAATAATTAAAATTAAAACTATATTAATAATAAAAAAATTGTAATTTATTTAAAAAAAAAATAAAACGAAATCTACGAAGAATTCCAGTTCTGGCTTCTAGCATAGATAGCAATGAATTTCTTTATAGTATATATAAATATATATGCATATATATTAAAAAATATAAAAATAAAATATAATTATTGTATTAATGAAATTTTTGATATTATCGTCATTCCAAAGAATTTTTTAGACTAATTAAAAAGATTTTAAATTATTATTAAAATAATTTTTATTATAATATTATTATGTTCATTTAATGTTAAATAATTCTAATTGTGTATTAACTTAAGACTTTTTATGTTAAATATATATGTATATTTATACATACATGTGCATGTATTAAATTTATATGTATATGTTTATATAAGTATAAATATGCATATGTTATAAAAGAGCGAAGAGAGCGTAAAATATGAATTTATTTAATAAACAAAAAAATATTATAAAAAACCATTATGTAAAAAATAAATATAAAAACTTTAAAAATTTAATTCATTGTCTTTTTGTATTTTTGTTTTTTTTCGTTAACTATAAAATATTTATTTATATATTATAATTAATTACAATGCAATGGTTTTCAGCTCGAATATTATAAATTACAAGTATATTTTTCACAGTAATTATTTTTAATAGGCTGGTAAGTAAGAAGTTTGAGAAGATATTACTACGAATATATAGAATCAAAAAAAGGGAATTCATTAAGTATATGATCTATGGATGGTGTGCTATTACAAAATGGACAGTTTGAATGTATATAGGACATGCAAACTGTCCTGGCAATCGAATAAAAGTTAGACAATGTTGACGAGTCATGATTGTGGGTATATTGCTTTTAATCCACTGGTATTGATCGAATTGGTAGCAATAGTTGTACACTGACCATTCCATAGCCCATTCGGCTTCCATATGTTTGTTTATAAAGTTTATGTTAAAATGTCGTTTTTTTCGGATGTATTAAATAAGAGCAAGGGAGAGCGACTGACAACAGAGACAGCGTTCATTTTCTTTGATTACTATGTGCCCAGGAACCTACTTGATTTTAATTTTGTTTAAAAAACGTATGCAGTTATTTCAGATATCACAGATAAAATCGCTGCTATTATTAATATTTATAATAATATTAATACTATAATATAATATTAACACTATAAAATATATTCAGAATCCTATTAATAAAACACAGGCTTCACATATTAATTGTGAATGGATGGTTTTTCACAGAATATTATTTACTATATCTTTCTCTGATTTCCTTTTATTTTTTTTCATTTTCCTAGTGTAAGTTGTTTGTTTAGTATTTTTTCCCTGCCGCTTCTTCAGTGGTAATATTGGATGCATATATGTGCAAGTATGAAGGCAGGTAAATATAAAATTCGTTGAACAATATATTTAATATTTCCAATTATATTTTATCTCTTAAGAATTTAAATAAAATTGCAATCAAAAACTAAGTGCACATTATGATGACAAATTTGGATTCAAATTAATTAATAATTCCTTGGAATAATAACATAAGCTCATTTCATTTGATTTTTGAAGTGTATTATCATCAGCTGAAGAAAGTGAATGCTTTCTGTTGATGATTAAACAATAAACTCTAAAAATGATGAAAAAAGAAAGAATGACCTTTCACCAAAATAATGGGAAACCCTTTACAAGTTTGTGGACTGTCCACAAGTCTATTTCTTTTTCAAGAACAAAATGCTTTTCATCCCAATACAGGTTCCATTTAGTCCAATTACTTTCATTAAGTTATTTCTGTTTTCTACCAACTTTTTCTTTGTTAAATAGTCACTACAGAATACTCTAGATTGTTTTTCCTAAACAATCATTTTATTAGTTCAGATATTGTAATAATATTTTTCTCCAACAATTTGGTATGCGAAGATCACGGTCTTCGTATGCTTCTCTCGGAACTTCTAGACCCTATAAAATTCGTTAGTTTCACTATTTCTTCACCACGGCTATATAGAAATTGATCTTTATACTGTCTAAGTAATAGTTTGTGCAGAAATTCTGCTGAATCTCCCTGACATATCTTCAATTATTTTGAAATCTTCACTAGTCAATCAGACCAAACAAATAGTTTTAGGTATTGACATTGTTCCTCCTATTTGCTACTATTTTTGCTACATAAAAGCAAAATAAGCTAGTAAATGTAATAAATTGTAGAGTAAAATATTGATATGCAAGAACTTGCACAGTTGACTTGTGAACACTATTCGAACATTTACCTAAAATTATCTTTAATGAGTAAGTCCACTAGAAGCACACTACTGAGTGCTTCAACTCAGTTTTCTAAACAACTTTCTGGTGTCTATACAAAATCTATTATATTCATCATAGGTGTATGTTCAGCAGTGGTAATAGGCGTTGGCAATTGCCGATGACTTTAGACCTATAACAGCCTATAGTGAGAATTATTACTTCAAATAAAAAAAAAAAACTTTATTGACCCTAATTTGTTTAATTTAGACAATTTTACGTTTTATTTTTAACTCTGGAATCAAAGAGAGCTGATCTAGTACCGTCACTGGTATATTTACTACTTTATGATATATAATGAATAATTTTATTTATTTTTATTCCGTAAAGAATAAACAACTCGCGTACTTTATAAGTAATTCTAAACAGTTTCTGATTTTTTTTATCCAACATTTATGCATAGGTTCCTTCCTTCTAATTTGCAATAGAATCATACTTAAAAATATACTAGAAATTTATACTTAAAAAACAAGTCAAGAAAGATATTACTCAACTGTATAGGTTTTTCGTTATAGTTGTGAATAAATTTTTTACAAAGATGTTATTGAACCGAAACACCTAACCGTTAAACATCACTATTTGCAAAAATCGGGAGAGATTTTGACTCTGACTCTGAAGAGTGCGTTGATATTATCAATACATTAAGAATAGTCTTAGGGTAGTGAACTGATTGAAATCACTATTGTAATCTATATTAATCATTCTTTTAGAATACAGATAATTTTTGATCTCGTCACCTTTTATTTGGCTTATACTGTTTTTATGAACTCCTCTTATAAAATAAAATGACTCGTATTTTGTCAAAGAATTCCTAAAACTTTTTGCTTACAGATACGGGGTCCATGCGAACTTGAGCTTTTCCAAACATATTAACATAAACACAAAACGTATAATACAAACAAAACCACACATACATATGTTAGTTATATCCAACATTACTTATAATTAATAAAAGAGAAAATACATTCCTCTTAAAATATACTAAGGTTCAGAATAAAAACTGCACCGCGCTGCTTACAAAGCATGCAAATGAAATAACATTCACATTGGGACTATGTTCAGTATTGAATAAACACAAAACATACAAACAAATATAAAAATAAAAGAAAAATCAAGCCCCGCAAAATATGTACGTAAAATAATCATAACTCTTAAATTAATGCGTGCAAGCGGTTCAATAAAAAAAGTGAACCAATGTTATGCAAAGTAAATACAAAAGAGAAAAGAAATGACTGAGCGAAAATCGCTTTACATTTGACGAGAGGTTCAATCGACTAAAT